TATTCCAATTCTGCATATATATTCAAAGGAACCCAAATAATTAATTTGAAAGAATACATGCACCGCTATGATCATTGGTGTTATTTAAAACTAGGGGGCCAGTGCATGAATTCGTGCACTTTGAAAGGAACTATGGGCCATTAGGCTGTGATGGGCACAAGGGTGGATCTTAGTCCATCCTCCACACACCCAACTGGCTATTGTCACTGTAACCCCAGTCTCCTATTTGCTGGCAGTCCTGCTCCTGCCACAACCGCTCCCATGCAAAGATGGCACAGAGTGATTGGGGCTGGCACCAACAGCAGTTGCAAGCAGAGGCTCTGGGGCCAGCAGCAGATGCAAACAGGTCATTGATGGCAGCAGGTGTGAGAGGTGGCTGGCCAAGCCTATTCACTCCTCAATAGCAGGGGGAAATGGAGAATCCCTGAGGAGCAATCAGAGCGGGCAGCTGCCACTTACACCCACTGATAGCCCCAAGTGATCAGGGCCGGTGCCGGGCACCAACAGAGGGTACGAGCAGCAGTTCCAGCATTGGCAATGGGTGCGAGTAGGGCTGGCATGAGTAGCAGAAACAAGTGCTTGGCAGGACTGCAGCGTGCAGGAGCAAAGAATTTTCAGTAACCACCAGAGGCTCTCCACAGTGATGACTAGCACCTTGCCTTAGTCTGGAGCCCCTGGCTCACCTGCATCACTATCCACTACTGCCAACCAACGCCCACCAAGTTCCATACATATGTGCCTGATAGACAGTGCATGTCATAGTGACCAGTTGTTAGGTTGTTCTGCCATTTGTTCTATTTACATATTAAAATTTTATATAGATAAAAGATGACAAAGCTATGAAAGGAACCCAGTGTCTATCAGTAAATAGTGGATAAAAAAGCTGTGATACATATATAAAGTGGAATATTATTTGCCCATTTAAGGAAGAAAAAAAAAATACCATTTCAATAGCATTAATGAACATAGACTTTCAATCTTTTTTATCTTATTGCACACTTAATTACTAAAATTCTGCAGCCCATCAAAAAGTACATTTTGCAGAGCTGAAAAATTGGATGATTGCTGTGTTGGTTGCTGTCATTTTTCATTTGATAATCTAAGAAAAAAGTGGTGAGAGAAAAATAGTACTTTTTTTTTTTAATTCTTGTGGCAAAAGGTTGAAAAAGCTGACCTAAAAGGTATTAGGATGAGTAGAATAAGTCAGTCAGGAAAAGACAAATACCATACTTCACTTACTTGTGGTATCTAGGGAACAAATAAATGAACACACAAAAATGAAAAAGACACAGAGATACAGAGAATATATTGATGGTGTCCATAGGGGCAGAGGTTTACAAGGCTGAGACAGATGAAAAGATTGAGAAGAACAGATAGATAATTATAAATTATGGAATTTTGTAAAATAAAGCATAGGGAATATAATAATTCTATATAATAAAAGCCTAATATGCAAATTTTCCCCTTAACTGGATTTCTGCTTTGAGTTCAACCACTCGACTGGTAGCTATGACACAACACTAACCACCAGGGGACAGATGCTCCAACTAATATGTTAGCTTGCTGTGGGCAATGATTGGCTGAACTGGAAAATAAAGTGTTAGGTTAAAGCCGTCAGGAAGCTCCTAGGATTTAGCCTAAACACCTTGTGGAGTGGAGCAGGAGCAGGAGCCAAGAGGGACCAAATGATGCGGGAGGCTGCTACATGTGATCCAAGAGCTATGTAGTGTGTGGCCTCTGCAGTCTGAGGCATTCTCGGTGCACAATTTATAATCCTCAGAGCTGCTTCTTTTTGTTATGTAACTACTCCAGAAGAGTGGGTAGCACCATTACAGGGGATCTGGCAGGGGGGGAAGGGGCCTTGGGCATCCAGGGACACAGCAATGAGGAGGGTGGGGCTGAGTAGGAGAAACTGACTCCATAACTTGAAAGGAAGAAGGAGGGAGCCAGAGGTGAAAGGTGGGTTAGGGGCCTAGAAAAGCTGCTGGATGGGGGTAGTAAAAGAGCCTGGTACCACGCCTACTGGACAGGCTCCAAATCCTCCCTCCTCCTCCCCATGACCTACCATCCCAGCTCTCCTCCAAAGCCCTGCCAAGGCTCACTCTACATAGCTTCACACTGCTGCATGGGCCTGTCCGCACTGCCTCACCTGCAAAACCTCACTCCTGCCCCACTCAACCTTTGGGGAGCTTCACCCCCAGAGGAAAAAGTGGAAGGCTAAAAACAGGAGGTCAGAGGATGGGGGAAACAGGGCCAATCAAGTTAAATGGAGGAGAAGAAGGGCAAAACCCCACAGGGCTGGAGACAGAGATGGGCAGGGGACACAACAGACATAGCTGTGAAGGAGGACCTTGTAGAAGTGTTGCCCTTGGTTGAAGTAGAAATCATTACCCCATTTTACAGACCCCAGCAGAATATGTATGTGGGCAGTAGCAAAGACCAAAGATGATGAGAGGGGACTACATGGATGGAGAGCAGAGATGTCCGACTTACATCCTATTTATTTTTGTTTTTGTTAATATATTTTTATTGATTTCAGAGAGGAAGGCAGAGGGAGGGAGGGAGAGAAACATCAATGATGAAGAGAACTGATCTACTGCCAACTGGGGATTGAATCTCCTAGCCCAGCCCAGAAATGGTAGTGTGGGTGCTGGGTAATAAAATCATGTACCAACATCCAGCTTCCTCAACCTAGTGAGTTGGGAGTTTCTTCAGCCCAGGAACACAATTTTCTATATAGCCACAGGCAAACACTTTACACTGTAAACAAATGTTTATGTAACCAAATGTGCATTTTCCCATGCCTCATCTCATTTGATCCTCACATAAATCCTGGAATAAGTACAAAAGAGACTCAGTGAAATCCTATTTTCTTTTCATTAGCCAGAAAACAAGGATTTAGAAAGCTGAAAAACTTGATTAAACTGTAAAGAAGAAAGAAATAGTGGACCTTGAAGATAAGTTCAGGTTTTCACACTACATAGACACCGCTGCAGTTTATAATATTTTACCCTTTGTTCTCCTTGCATAATCCTATCTAATAAAAGGGTAACATGCAAATTAGACATCACTCTGTCACAAAGATGATAGCCAAGATGGCAGTGCCCAGACTTCTCAGCCTGCCAGAGTCCTCCAGTCCTGGAAGGATGGCCACTAAGAGTGGGCAGCATGAGTGGCCTGGAGGAATGCTTGCTTCGTCACCTCACCTGGCTCGGCCAGCCCCTTTAGAGGCAGAGCAGACATGGATAGGAACAGCAAGGCTGGCCTGTAGCCTAGGCAGCTGAACGCAGACCAAAAGAGCAGACAGCAGGCCTGCCACCCGTGGAAGCCACATGGCTCCCTCCCACTTCCCATGGAGTCGGAGCAGGTCCCTCCTGGCTCCTGTAGAAGCAGCAAGGCTCCCTCACACCTTCAGCAGAATGAACACAGTCTCTTTGCATGGCTCCAATGGAAGCAGTGTGGCTACTGGTAATGTGCTATGGTTCCCACAAGCTCCTGCGGAAGCAGCAAGCAGCCTATTGAGCATTGTTATCGCACTATGGGCTACTAGTCTATAATAATAATCTGCTTCATGTTTTGTTTTGTTTTGTAATTTATTTTTCATAGAGAGGAAGAGAGAGATACAGAGTTAGAAACATCGATGAGAGAGAATCATCGATCAGCTGCCTCTTGCACACGCCCTACTGGGGATGTGCTCGCAACCAAAGTACATGCCTTTGCCCGGAATCGAATCCAGGACCTTTCAGTCCCCAGGCCAACGCTCTATCTACTGAGCCAAACTGGTCCCGGCGCTTCATGTTGATATTTACTGCTGTGTTTCTGACAATTAACTGAAAGAGAAGTTGGGGTGCTTCACTGGGCTGCAGAAAGTTAAGTCAAGTAAGAAAGCATCTCTATTTAAGCAAGTTTATATATACGAAAAGCTCTTGCAGGTGCTAACCACACACATATGTTTCCATCTGTAACTGACAATTTGGTTAACACTTTTATTATAAAGAAAGAGTGGTCTATGGCCATACCACCCTGAAAGTGCCCGATTTTGTCTGCTGGAGATCTTGTGGCAGTCATCTTTGACCACATGGAGGCAGACATCTTGTGTGTTGGAATAATGGTCAATTTGCATATTGCTGTTATTAAATAGGATAGCATAAACATAGAAAATCTGAAAAATTATAAGTTTTGACAAATCAAATTTCCATCAGAATTAAGGCATTTAAAATTAATGTATTATTTTTCCCAAAAGTTTTTATACTTACCAACTAGCATTCTACAAGCCTTAATAAAAGATGTTCTATTATTCTATCATTCTGTTATGACTCATGCCCTCCAACTAGAAGTGAGTAGATTTCTAATTAGACCCACAAGAAAGAAAACTTAGATACCATCACTAACATACATACTCCTTATATACTAACATAAATACTTTGTCTATCTAAAAATCTACTAAAAATCTACAGATGTCTCTTGTGGCATCTCAAACAGAAAAGTATTTTACATATCAAATGAAATAAAACATTCATTGATTCTGGGCCAGAAATTCTGGTATTCATCTTTTTTAAAAACAAAATCACAAAAAAATATAAAGCACTAAAAAGTTATTTTGGCATAGCTCAGTGGTTGAGCATGAACATATGAGCAAGAGATCACGGTTTGATACCGAGTCAGGGAACATACCCAAATTGCTGACTCAATCCCCAATGTAGGGTGTGCAAGACACAATCTATCAATAATTCTCTCTCATCATTGATGTTTTTATCTCTTTCACTCTTCCATTCTCTTGAAATCAATAAAAATAAATTTTTAAAAGTTATTTTGCAAATCTTAGCATGATATGTATCTACTTGGTGTCCTGAAAGCCAATCCTTTTTTTAAATCTTTTAGTTCATATCCTAAATTCTTCACCTTTATAGTGTTATATAAATTCCAAATGTCTCAATATTCTTCTAATTTAAACTTACATGAATAGATTAATATCTGTAGAAAATGCCCCAACCACCTACCTTTAAGCTAGATTCATAGTCTGTGTTCACTTTGAACATAAGCCCAAGTCGTAAATGAATTTCCTTGGCTCGACAAAAACTGGGATCAACATAAAGCACCTCTTGAAATGCCTTAATTGCCCTTAAAGAATACAGACATAAGAAACTGTAAGATTCTAATCATTTATAGGTACTTTCCTTAGTAATCCAAGAAACATTCTGTACAACAATTTTTACAAATATAACAACTTTATTAAAACATTATTAATAATAAAGAACATCAGAAAAACTGGATAGGAACAGCAAAGCCGTAAAGAATGTCAGTTGAATCTCTTTGAAATTTCTCAAATTGTTCAACAATAATTACATTTTGATTGTAAATAATCAATTTAAATTTTTCTGAAACATCTTAGAAATAGCATAGTAAGAAAGTTTATGAGGGCAAGAGAATAAAAATAATAAACTCAGATATATATATATATATATATATATATATATATTGTTCCACAGAAATCAACTTTCAGAAATTTTACTTACTATAGTTATATCATGTGAAATCATTAATGGCTAGTATATAATTTTTCCATATTCAATTTCTACAAAAGAAAATAATTTCTGGAAAAGACCATTCTACAGCAATGGAGTATCACTTTTGCCATAAATCAATGACCCAGGATTTAGAGACTGTATGATTTGTCTAACATAACTCAACCCATCATCTTTGTCCTAATTGTATACTGCCTTAACTGTCTTATCAGGTGTTGATTACCAATAAAAAATCCAGACATACCAGATACATTTTGAATATTTCTTAGCATTTAAATGTTGTGAATTACTAATGAGTATGAAAAAAGACAAAAAAAAAAAAAACAATACTTCATTTTGATGTCAAATACTATATTCACTAGAGATCACTTTTAGAATCTTAATGTTTCAAAAGTCAATTTTATTTGTGCTACAAACAGATGAGCATACCATTAAGAGAAGTATTTAATTGTCTTATTTCTAAAGTTGCTATATGTACATTTACTACAAAATTGAGCGTTTTGGGAAACACACAGACATCATTTAAAAATGAGTTATCAAAATTTATAATCATTTCCCCACATTTTCACATAAATTCAGAATCTGGCAAAAGTAGGTTTATAAAACAGTGTATTGTTGAGCTATTACTTATTATTTTTTTAGACAATTACTTTAGATTTTCTTTAGACAATTATAAATCTAATTTGTCCAAAGCTATATTTAAAGCAATTAATATTTCTATTTAAACTAATTTATCTTACTAATTATTTTATTTTCTTCAAGCTACAGGCTCATGGATTTTATCATAAGCATATAAAAACTACTGTATAGCCTCACTGAATTGCATACATATTTGTCCTGGCTAACTAAAATAATTGTATCTATGAGAACAAACAACTGTAATACTGATTAAAAAATAGACATCATTCTGCCTCCATGTAGCACAAACCACAACAAATAATTTCATTTAGTATAACTATTAGACTTACTTCTAAAAAAGTTTCCCTATAAACTTGATTAAATCCTATCTGTAACTATTGTAACCTCTTGTCCTCTTCCCATTTATAAGTGATCACAACTCTATGAATATATCGGGTCTAGTAATAATTAATGTCGTTTTAAACATTCGTTTAAAATCTTGCTTGGCGTTGACTTGTATTGACATAACCTTCAAACACGTGGTATCTACAGAACGTGTGAAGTGCAATTAACAAGTTTTGCTTGAAAAAGTTTGTGTTCGGTTTGGTTTTTGTTGCAAAACTAGGGCTAAGAAGATGGCGGATGAAGAGCATATTCGGCACTGCATGCTTTACGAGTTCCAATTAGGAAGAAAAGCAAGTGAGGCTGCAAAAAAACATCTGTAGTGCTCTTGGTCAAGATGCAGTTAGCACCAGAAAATGCCAGCGTTGGTTTGAGAAATTTCGCGAGGGAAATTTTTCGTTAGATGACAAGAGTGGTCGAGGCCGTGTGTCCAATTTTGATCAAGAAGCTCTTCAAGCTCTTTTGGTGCAAAATCCTCAAATTACCCAACAAGAGCTTTCGACAACTTTAAATTGTTCACAAAAAACAATTTCCAATCAATTGCGTGCACTTGGCAAAGTCCAAAAGTTTGGAAAATGGGTTCCTCATGAGTTGACCGACAACAACCGTAATCAAAGACATAATTTGCAGTTCGCTCCTCTCTCATCAAAACCGTTTGCCGTTTTTAGAGCAAATTGTTACCGGAGATGAAAAATGGGTGCTGTATGTTAATTTGAAAAGGCGGCTTCAATGGTTGGACAAAAATGAGGCTCCACAGCCCACGCCAAAACCTGACTTGCATGCGAAAAAAGTGATGTTGTGTGTTTGGTGGAATTTTAAAGGTATTCTTCATTATGAACTTTTACCATCTAACCAAACCATTACAAGTGCAGTGTATAGTGCCCAATTGGAAAGGTTAGCCCAGGCTTTAAGAGAAAAAGAACCCGCGCTGATTAATCGGAAGGGCGTAATTCTTCACCACGATAACGCACGACCGCATACTGCAAGAATCACTGCTCAAAAACTGCGCCAGTTGGAATGGGAAGTTCTCCCTCAACCTGCATATTCTCCTGATATTGCCCCTTCCGATTACCATTTGTTTCGTTCTGTGCAAAACTTTCTTCTTGGAAAAAAATTTAATAATGAAGAATGCCTCAAAAATGCATTGACCGAATTTTTTGCATCAAAATCACAAGAATTTTACAACAGAGGGATTAAAATGCTTCCTGAGTGTTGGGCACAAGTAGTAGAAAACAACGGCAACTATACTGTTGATTAAATTTTGTTGTATTGTTTAAATAAATTCGATTTAAAAAAGTATTAGAAAACGACATTAACTATTACTAGACCTAATAGTTGTGCAAAACAATACCATCTTTTTCTTTCAATTTGGAATATGTAGGCTTTAAATTAAGAAGTAGGGACCTGACTAAAGGACTGCCTCTGTCCATAAATAGATAAGAAATATAGAATAAAAATTAACACAACAAAAGGAAAGAATTAAAAAAACTATGATCTCTAAGATCTTTTCAAGTCCTAAAACTTCAGAATTATAATTTGTGATTAGGATTTTCAGAAAATTTACAGAGACCTTAAATTAATCTAGGCTCGTTTTAAAATAAGATTCCTACAAGATACATGAGGTGGTTTAGTTTTAAGATCTCTCAAAGCAATGTGTCATTCAACAGGAAAAAAATTATAACATCTAGTTTATTTAATAAGCCAATGTAGTATATCCAAACATAAAGTAATTAAAAAGCCTCAAAGCTGCCGATACCGGTTTGGCTTAGTGAATAAATAGAGTGTCAGTCTGCAGATGAAGGGTCCCAGTTTCGATTCCGGTCAAGGGTGTGTACCTTGGTTGTGGTCACATCCCCAGTAGGAGGTGTGCAAGAGGCAGCTGATTGATGATTCTCTCTCATCGATGTTTCTAACTCTCCATCCCTCTCTCTTCCTCTCTGTAAAAAATCAATAAAATATATATATATTTTTTAAAAAGCCCCAAAGCCAACAAATTAAGTTAATTTGTACTTCAGTTGTTCAACTAAAAGCTAAATATTCACCTCTGGAAAATGGCATAAAAATCTGGTCAATACAAATTTAATAACTCTGTAAGCATGTACACAACATGCTTACAAACATTGGCTATGTAATGTACTCTTCCTTTAAGTCCTCATAACATGTAAATCACAAAAATAAAAGCCAATTTAAAAAGTTTTAGAAAACAGTATACAAAATCTTACATATGATTTACGAGTGCAGTTAATCCTCATCACTGAAAGACATATCCTAATGGAAAAATACTGAGCGTTTACTTATACACACACACACACACACACACACACACACACACACACACACTGAAAGCTTCTACTATAAGTTAACTTACCAATGAAATGCATTGTAGTAGAAGTAAACCAAACCAAGGCCATATAAAAAGACAGCATTCTGTTAAAAGAATAATAAAAGTTTTACATTTTAGATTTCTATGTTCTAAAATTTTTTCACATCTTACAATATGATTAAAAGAAATAATAAAGTCATGAGTCAACAGAAAACATGGGAGAAGACTAAAAGCTTGGAGAAACCTTTCAGTTTCATTTTAATCAACTCCACGGAAAGAAAAAAAAAAACAATTTTTAAAAATTCTAAAATTTGTGTAAACCACATACAAAAAGAACAAAAACAAATAAAGCAATCCAGAGAAAGAGCAAAGCTAGAGGTGTTATAGTTCCTAGTTTAAATTGTACTAAAAAGCTATTTTAAAAAAATAACTGTTTGGTACTGGCATTAAAAAAAATAAAAAATAAAAAAAAGGCCAAAGAAACAGAACACACAAGACAGATACAAACACCTACATTTACAGTCAACTAATATTAAACAAGAGCCAAGAAAACACAATAGCTAGAGGGTTGTTTCATCAACAAAAGGTGGTGAAGAAAGAAATAAACACATATAAAGTTTGTGCCAAAAAAAAAAGTGAAATTGAAACCATATCTTGCATCAATCACAAAAAATTAACTCAAAACAACCATATTAAACATGAAACCTGATACTATAAACCTAAAAAAAAAAAAATGAAGAAACAGCACCTTGACATTTGTCTTAACAAAAATAAATAAATAAATTTTAAAAATCTGAGATTAGATAAAAAATGTAAACAATAAAAGCAAAAATCAAGAAAGAGGACAATATCAAACACAAAAGCTTCTACAGAGCAAAAGTAACTAACATTAAAAATAATCAAACTACAGTATAGGAGGTTATCTGTAAAAATCACATATGTAAGCCAAGGATTAACATTAAAATATATAAAGTATTCCCACAAATCAATAACAACAAAAACCATTCTGATTAAAAGTAAGAGCCTGGCTGGAGTGGCTCAGTGGGTTGGAATGTCACCCTGTACACTGAAAGGTTGCTGGTTCAATTCTGGTCAGGGCAAATGCCTGGAATGCAGGATAGGTCCCCAAGTGGGTGGGGCATGTTGGAAGGAAACCAACCCATCAAGATTTCTCTCTCACATCAATATTTACCACTCTCTCTCTTTTCCTCTCTTTAAGAATGTCCTCAGGTGAAAACAAAAAATAAGGGGCAGAAACCAGTTTGACTCAGTGGATAGAGCGTCAGCTTGTGGACTGAACGGGAAGGCCTCAGGTTCAATTCCGGTCAAAGTCATGTAACTTGTTTGTGGGCACATCCCCAGTAGGCGGTGTGCAGGAGGCAGCTGGTCGATGATTCTCTCTCATCAATGTTTCTAGCTCTCTATCCTTCTCCCTTCCTCTCTGTAAAAAAAAAAAAATCAATAAAATATATTTTTTTAAAATAAATAAAAATAAAATAAATAAATAAAATAAGTGGACAGAAGAACTAAATCGATAGTTTTCCAAAAAAGGTATTCAAAGGTCAAGATGTTCAACATTAATTATTAGGAAGATACTTTCAAGATCATATTGAGATATGTTTGTTAGATTAGCTATCATCAAAAAGACCAAAGACAACAAATGGAGCCGAAACCGGTTTGGCTCAATGGATAGAGCATCGGCTTGGGGACTGAAAGGTCCCGGGTTTAATTCCAGTCAAGGGCATGTACCTTGGTTGCGAGCATATCCCCAGTAGGGGGTGTACAAGAGGCAGCTGATCGATGACTCTCTCTCATCCATGTTTCTAACTCTCTATCTCTCTCCCTCGCTGTACAAAATCAATAAAATATATTTATTTTATTTTTATAAAAAAAAAGATAACAAATGGAGAAAAGAAAGTTCATACACTCTTGGTGAAAATGTGAATTGGTTCAACATAAATAACTATTCTTTAAACTTAAAAACAAATCTAACACTGTTCTGGCAATTCCACTACCATGTATTTATTCAAAGAAAGTAAAAACAGATACTGAGGTTTCTAATTAAGATGGAGGAGTAGGTAATGTGTAATTCACATTAACACATTAAAATTACAACTGAACCATCACCCTGCAAAACAAACTGGAAATAACTAAATAGAACTCCTATAATAAAGAAAAAGCCACATGAAGAAGGATGGAACAGGTAAGGATGTAAATGGGCTAGTCCCACACCACATATGGCAGTTAAGATCCTAGACAGCTATCTCTAATGCAAAAGTTCTCTCTGGGAAGCTAGGGATCCTAAGCCCACACTACACTACACAGTTTGAAGGACGAATGCCGGGAAGAGGAGTCCTTATAAGAGCTAGCTATGAAAATCAGCCTGGATTCCAGCTGGGAGAGATAAAGGACCTAAAGAGAGCCAGGTGTCCACTTCAAGTGTCTTCATATGTCACTTATGCATAAACAATCTTCTTCCCCTCCAGCAATAAAAGAACAGCAGCTCAAAGGATGCCAAGGACATTCACAAAGAAACTGAATTGTGTGACCTCAGAATAAGGGCTTGAAGAGCAGGCCCCATAGTTCCTTTGCTGAGACCTCACACACACTGCAGACACAGGTCAGCACCAGATAGGAATTAACCAGAGAAATCACTCACACCTACCTAGTGATTTCTAAGATGCAAGCCAACACAATTCACACAACATCCCAGTCTATTTCAGTGATCTGAGCCTCAAAGGCATATGAGATTGGCCCACAGTACAAACTTTTCTAAAAACTCTCAAAGACCCACATGCACCAAGAAAATGGTGGGTATAATTAATATGCCCAGTGCAATTGCAGAGAAACCCTTGAGGCCCAGCACTGGGGCACCAGCCGTGATTCAAAGTGCAACCTATGTGAAAAGTGTAATCTCTCCCAGTGGCTCAGAACAAAGGACTGGCACTACAACCACCAAATGACATAAGCCAGGTACAGCAGCAGATAAACTTGGCTGGCATCAATCACTGTGCCTCCCAAAAGATACCATAACCAAATGCCAATAGCTGAGCTCACATAACAGCAGAGAACCATTTGAGCACATTTCACAATCAGCATAACCAAATGATGGTTTTGGCAGATAGGAAAGCTTTGTTGGGGCACTCAACTGGATCAGACCGCAGACAGCAGCTTGTCTTGGTCAGTCTTCATAGGCAGGCTATCACAAAACTGATGTACCAACAACAATCAAAAGTTAAACTTACAACTGCAGCAACCAATTCAGGTGACCAGAAAGTGTTCACCTCTACATAAGGACATCCTACCAAAAGTGGGAGACTTAGCAGCTATCCCTAATACAAAGAAACAGAGAAGCTCCCAAATGAGGAGATAAAGAAACATGCCAAATCAAAAGAACTGGATAAAATTTCAACAAAAGAAGTAAACAAAAAGTGTGCAGGCAAATCTCTAGGCACAAAATTCAAACCAGTGGTTGTAAGAATCTCAATGAACTTAGGAAAAAGCACATGAACAAAGTGAGAACTTGAACAATGATAAAAACCTTAAGAAAAAGTCAGATATAAAGAATACAATAAATGTAATGAAAAATACATTTGAAGGAATCAACAACAGATTGGATGAAGCAGAGGATAAATTCAACAATTTAAAAAGATAATAATAGGGGAGACAAAATGGCAGAAGAATAGATAGGCGGATTCTGAGCCTTGACCCCAAGCAGAAAGAGAGAGCAGCTAAGGGTCGTGCTGGGAGTGTTTATTAGCAAGCCAAGTGACAGCCGAATACCAGAAGAAACTGGGGGACCACTGATCAGGATGCCTCTGACAGGAAAGCACCCACAGAGGGGCTGGGTTTCTTCCCGGAGCTACCTGCAGGCTTGGATGGGGAAATCTCACCATCTTTAAAAGATTGGATCGTGTCAGAGGCCTAAACAATCACAGCCGCAGGGACCACCAAGCAGCGGTAAGCCCCGGAACACTGATCCCAGGTGGCCCGAATACTTGGACTCAAAGGAGCGCCCCAGCGCATGGCAAAAAGGTCAGATTTCCTGGGTAGAGGGTTCAGGTTCCCAGTGAAGACAAAAGCCCACACGCGCCAGCCACAGCGCGGAAACTGGAGGACTGGGGCAGTAATTACAAGCAGAAGCCCCTGGCTGCTGGGTGGGTGTCACCTGTGAATATGGACGTGGTTCCTAATAGGGAGATATCTAAAAGCAACACATTTGGATTTGATTCGGAAGGATATCTGAGAAGTACAGGAGAGTACAGTTGCCTCGGACTTGGGCCCCCCCTTCCATAGATCAGTGTTGCAGAAAAGGAGGGAGAGGGAAGAGCTAGAGAGGCATTAGAGCCCTGGAAGTCAACCAAGAAACACTGCCACCCAGAGGCTAAATCACAAATTGACCTTAGAGTAATAAAATCAAAGCAAGATCTACTTAAAAATCAGGACCGAATTACAACACTGAGGAGAAATGAAACGCAGGGAACTGCAATACTGTCTGGACTGGGAAACAGGCGTCCCAAACAGAAAGACAGAGGAAGTGAAGGACCTTCATTACTGCAAAATTTTATTTAAATTTTTTTAATTTTTTAATTTTTGTGGCGGTTTTTTCATCATTTGCAACATTTACTCAAGAAACTATTTTTTCTCTTTTTTCCTCATTTGATTTTACCTTTGTAATTATTACATTGTATATGTAATCAACATTATTACTACTATTTCACCTTTTTATCTTATTTTCTTTTGTTTACTTTTATTATTATTTTTTTTACTTCGGGATTAGTGTTCTACAATCTATATTTATCTTCTCCAATGCTTTATTCTATCTCAGTCCCTCCTTTATGCCATCTCTCTCTTCCTAACCATTTCCTTTTAATGCCCTGTTTATCTTAACCCTTTCCTGCTCTAGATTTTCCCTACAATGTTTACACCCTCCAAAAATTTCACCCTACTTATGTATATCTAATTTCCAACCTCTGCTCCAAGCCCATTCACACCTCCCTTGTCACTGTCAAAAAAAAAAAAAAAGCGCAAACAAAAACACTTTCTATTCTTTTGTAATTGTATGTTGAATTTTCACTAAATTGAAGTTTTATGCTTTTTTGAA